AAAAATCCAAAATCGAAAATTTTAACAAAAAATAGTGTTTTTTTAACTACGGCAGCCGTTTAAATGTAGAAGATAAAGTGTCGAGACAAATTTTTTTTTTCATTTTATAGAAAATAAAATAAGCTTTAATTTGATNTTTTTTTTTTCATTTTATAGTACATAAAATAAGCTTTAATTTGATATATGTTTAAAGGACGCAGTATTTCCGGAACATTTTCAAAAATTAAGTTGAAAAAGTTAGTTTTTGTAAAAAAGTTGCAATTTTAAATCCCCCCCCATGAGCAGGTTAAGTGTTAAATTTTCAAAAAAATTATATCAAATGAAAGGAAAATATCTAAGGTTTTAGTATAAAAAAAATTATGTTGATTTGTTGATTTTTGAAAAAGTTATGGATGTTTTAAGATAAAAAAATGACAAAATTTACCGATTTTTAAATTTGTAATTTTTTTGGATTTTTCCCCCATTTTCGGGAAACGAGGGAATTTTTTTCAATTTGAAAGGGTAATGTCTCCAATTAGATACGATTTGTGATCTTTTGACGTATTTTTGAAAGAAATCAGTCCAGTGAGAGATGAGAAAAAGTGGCAATAGACTTAAAAAAAAAACACATCATAGTAAAATTAATACCTTCTCAGCTTCGCATCGAAGCTAAAATGCATGAATCAATTCTATTCTTTAATAATAAATACTTTATATATACCTCTTTCATTGGACATCTTTTTTTTTTAAATCGGATCATTTCCCTTTATACAGGGGAGGTGCATACCTTTTAAAATGCGTAACAAAAGTAGAACTTTTTCAACTTAAGTTTTGAAAATGTTCCGGAAAGACTGACACTTTTATATATACCTTAAATTAAAGCTTATGTAATATACTTTATTTTGAAAAAAAAAAATTTGACCTCTGGAATTGTCTTCATAGTGAAAACGAACATCAAAAACTTACGATTTCCGTGAAAAAATTCTCGAATTTATACGTTATATTATTAAATTTATATTGCTATAACTTTTGGAGAAATGTATGGATCAATATTATTATTTTTTTATAAATAATTTTTCTATACCCCTTTCATCTGACACACTTTTTTTGTAAATCGGATCATAGCCNGACACACTTTTTTTGTAAATCGGATCGTACCACTTTATACAAGGGGGGTCAAAACTTTAAACATGCTTATTGAAACTAGGACATTTTCAATTTAATTTTTTAAAGTCTTCCAGAAATACTGACACTTTTATATATATCTTAAATTAAAGCTTATGTAATATACTTTAATTTAAAAAAAAAAATTTGGATTTGTCTTCATGGTGAAAATGACTACCGTATTCAAAAATATGCTATTTTTGTGTGTAAAATTCTGGGTTTTGTATTTTATTTTATTTTAAAATACCTGGCAAGGGGAGTACAGATTTTCATAAATATTATATAAATAAAAAATTGATATAACATAGAAAGTTAAACTTATTTCAATTTTTTTGCTTTTTGAAGTCGAGAAAATTAATATTGAAATTTGAACTAGTTTAAATAGCCAATTTTTTCAACTGACGGTAGCAATGTACGGTTGCCGAGTTGGTAAAACTTGTTTTACACGCTTGGGGTACAGGGTTCCAACCTGCGTATAGCAATGAATTTTTTTGCATTTTTTATTAATTATTTTTTATTTAGATGCATGTCTTTACCTATCATTTGGTTTTTTTTTATAAATCTAACCCTTTATCTGCCCACAAGAGGGATTCAAAATGATAACTTTTTATTTTTAGTTAAAGGAAATCATTAAAATTATTTCAGTTCTGGATATTTCAATAATAGAATGTTTTTAAATACCAAAATTTACTTAGAAATTATTACTATGATTTCTATTTATGTTTTATTACGATAAAAATGCAAAAAAATAATGAGTTTTTCTGATAAATATACAGTAANCTATTTAAGTGTTCTATTACGATAAAAATGCAAAAAATAATGAGTTTTTCTGATAAATTTACAGTAAATAGTAATTATAAAATTTCCTGACTACATATTAATCTTAAAAATAACATTGTTTTAATTCTCATAAAATTTTCTATTTAATGATTAGGCCAGCCAACAAAGGAGTAATTTTGGCGAATAGCAGAAAAAATTCCCAACCAAATTTTTTATTTTTTAAAAGTAGGAAATTGGTGGATTATTCCAAAAGCAAAAGCAACATCAATTCTTATTTCTTTAATTATATCCTGATTAGTAGTTCTTTGATTTTAAAATATAATATATGAATAAATACTAATTATAGTTTTTAAATTTAGTATGAAATTGATATTCAATAATTNGAATATATACTAATTATAATTATTAAATTTAGTATGAAATTGATATTTAATATTGTAATTTAAACGGAGAAATTATAAAAATAATAAAGAAGTTATATTTTGCTTTACTTTTACGTGTATAAAAATTTAAAGGGCTTGATACAATAATTTTCAATAAAAACTGTTTGTTACTATAAATAAATGCACTGGACTACAAGGAACTTTCATCAGAAGCAAAATTATACTTTTCTAAATCAAATTTTCGCGTTGTTTTCAAATCTGCAAGTAGACTATTTCTATCACTTCTAATTTTTTATATTATTACTAATTATATATATAAAATAATAATTAAAAGAAAAAAAAATTTGTTTTCAAATTATTACTGATTTGATTTTTAATATGTTAAAAATAATCAGTCCAAATTTTCATTTTTAATCTATTTTATTGGTTCTTTAAAATTTAAGTTGAATTAAAATATGTATAATGACATACTAATAGTCCTCATTGATTGGAATTGAGCTTTCTTTTTACAGCCTTGCAAAAGTTAAAAAAATATGAGCTTTTTTCATTTTCTCAAAAAATATTTCACTTACAAAAAAAAGTTTCGTACAAAAGTTGTTTAAAAGACAATTATAAACAAAAAAATTATCTTATATTTTTTCATTTAAACAAATATTTTTCGAGTTACATTACATTTAATATGAGTACTAAAATGTATATTCCATTTTTTTCCTTTTATGGTTATTTTTTATCATTTTATACTTACATTAGACACAATGTTATAAATGCAAATGTGTATATGTGTGAGTTTATTTATTTATTGTATCATTAAAGTGTAGTGTATATTGAGATACAACCGATAGAGTAGGTAATTGATTTGACGCTATATTATTTAAACCCAACTAAACGCTAAATTGTACATTCCGAAATAACAATCATATTATGTCAATTGCCACCGGAATATCTGGTAATATTTTTCTTTTTCTTTGCCTTAATCCCAACTACTTGGGGTCGGGCACCCTTATCCTAAGCTTCCACTTGACACGATCTCCCACATCTTCTACGCTCACATCAGCTGTCCTCAAATCGCATTCAATAGCATCCCTCCATCTCTTTTTTGGTCTTCCTCTATCTCTTCTTCCTTCAACATTCATTTCTATAACTGTTCTTACAGCTTTCGATTCTTCTTTCCTCATAACATGACTAAACAATCTAAGTCTATTTTCTGTCATCTTATCCACGATTGACGCAACACCTATACTTCCTCTTATATGTTCGTTCCTTATCTTATCTTCTCTAGTCACTCCACTCATCCAACTAAGCATTCTCATCTCTGCTCTACTTTCTTATCAACTGCCCAATACTAAGAACCATACATCATAGCTGCCATACATCATAGCTGGCCTCACAATTTCATACTAAATTTAAAAACTATAATTAGTATTTATTCATATATTATATTTTAAAATCAAAGAACTACTAATCAGGATATAATTAAAGAAATAAGAGTTCATGTTGCTTTTAAAATATTTCACCAATTTCTCTAAATGAAACACTATCTACAGATTTGCATCGAAGCGTTTCTTATGATAGTGATTTTAATCACTGTCAGATATCATCTATACTTGTCCCATCTATGCCTCGTCCACACTGTGCTTCGATCCCACTGTGCTACTGTTTTTTTGTTACATTAATTCAGATTTAATATTTTTCCTGCAAAACACTTATTGTGCCTGTCATAGTCGAGTACTCCTACTGGGATCAGTGACCTACTTACTAAGATGGTCCAAAGAGACTTATGTGCTAAAGGCGCGTGAGGTTAGTAGGTCCTTGGGTTGGGATGGAGCCCCAGCTAGGCAAAGCCTAGTATTTATATATTAATAATACTGATTTTTAAAAAATCTTGTTTTGTGATACCATGAATATGTATACATTGTCGATGTATGTGTATTTTACTCTAAATATAGTAATACCTTTTTAGTTTTTAGCTATTATAATTGAAATTTTGAAATAAATGAAATGGCATTTAAACCTTAGGCATCAATAAGTTTATAACACTATTTATACCTGTGTTGGGTAAAATAAATTTCAATATAATATGAATATAATTTTACGTGCATTCCATACAATAAATTTACCTTTACATATTCTTTTCGAAATTCAGCCAGACAATTGACAGAACAAAATTCTTTTTTTCCATTTTGAGTAGGTAAAACATAATTTAAAGGATGTTTTGACTCATTACACATAGTACATGTTGACTTAGCTTTTGGAGGACGCCCTAAAAATTGTTCAAACAAGCATTTATGTTTATGTGCATCAACTAATTGAAACATATTTGTCATAAAAATGTTTATAAAATTAAATTTTTTAAATAAGCCTACATACCTCTCATTTTATTAGTTTGCATAATATTATTTGAAGTTTAGTTTTCAGTTAATCTGAAATGAAAAACTATAAATTTTAGCTAATTTTTATAATTTCATGTAAAAGTTATAACTGAAAATCAATTTGATATATAAAATTAAAAAAACTCAAGCAGTAGATACATTTAGAATTTAATAATTTTGAAATATGTTTAAGTTGAAAACCAAATTTTTATACACTTAATCATAGCGATTAATACATAATTAACATTAGATTTCAACTTGATAAATTATAACTGTAAATTATATGAAAAGCTTTTGTAATAAAAATCCAAATGGTGAATTAGAATCATTATTTATAAAAAAAATGTGTACTTACGAAAACATTTAATTTGGTATGACAAAACTAGGACAAGCAAATTTTAAGTGATTAGTTACATGAATAATATCGGCTTTTGAAGAATTGTAAGAAAAACGTCAACAAAAGAGGTAAATCCGCCATTGGCCGGATATGATAACTAATAGGCAACAACTGAGTATTTTACAATATTTATTTTCATGGAAGAAATAGAATTTACACAACTTTTAATCAGTAAATATCACAGACTAAATAGACTGGTATCATCATTATGGGCGGGTGTACGGAGTGTGATCATGAAATGTGTCTTCTGAAGTACACTAAAATTTGTAGCACTATATAGTAAACGTAAAATATTCTAGATATCTACTAATATAAATCAATTCTTGCTCGACTTCATTTGAACACTTGATATGCCTATTATTACTTAGTAATAAATTTGATACTGAATAGAAACAACTCAAGTCAAAAATAATTATTTTGGACTTAAGATATTGAAGAGAGCAAAAAAAGTCTAAATTTTATTCAGTTTTTAACTCTTAAGTCATTTATTTCATAAACAGGAATTTAAGCATAATAATTGATGAAAAAAATGTGCTTTTTATATTAAAATAATTATAATTACACACTACAATAAGCACATATCTAGTTGTAAACATTTAGAATTTTATGACTCATTGTTTACTTTTTCTATTTTCCCTCTCGTGTTAACAACAAATATAATAATCATTTAATTTTCATAATGTCTAGTTTATGCTATATTTTAAATTGCGTAAAAAATTTAAAAATGAACTCTGAAGTAACGTTATTTAAAGTACTAGTATCTGAAACCATATTTAAAATAAAATTATTTTCAAATAAAATGCAATTCGAAATGGTCAATATATTTGTTATTGCTGAACATTTTGAGCCTAATGATTTAAAACCACCTGTTTTTCACCGTGGAATGTACGAAATGTTCGTACACAATTCACTATTACTCTTGCTTTATTTAAATATTGAAATTTTAACTTTGAAATAAAACTACAAGTAAATTTTTAAGTTATAAGAATGACTATGTAATATTCTCCTCTGGAATATTAATAAAATTAATACCTCTTTTATTTCTCAGATCACAGAAAAGAATACGCTAACACGATTACGCATATAATTCTGACCTTGGTCACTATAAAGTAGCCATGAGTTATTGTCTTTCTCAGCGTCTTCGAAGCATCACAAAAACATTAAATAAGGGAAGTTAATAAAAAGTAACTGTCTTGTTTTGATTGTAGTACGGATTGGTAACTCAAAATGTCTATGAAAAGGCATGACATAATTGAGACATCCCATCCCTCTTTATGCCGTTTGTGGTACATTATACAAGGGCTGAGAACACTATTTTTGCAACCAGTTACTCGCTCATTTTTCTTGTCTCATTTTCTCACTTAAAAATGTCAAGTTAAATACTTTAAGATTATTCCAAACGTACTCAAGTGTATTCTTTATACTGTGAGTCTTTAGTTTTAACTTTTTGTCACTAAGTCTAAACTATACATTTGTTAAAATAATTAACACTTTCCATAGTAATAAATATGCTTTTATTAACCAAATACGATTCTCTTTCATTAACATACCTAATATAATTTTAACAACCTTCTTAATAACCATAAGCCTACAATTAAGATTCTATCACCATCAGTGAATATTAGGTAAGAGTAGTTTTAATACACTAACTACATTTATTAAGTAATAACCGTTAGACCTTAATATTCCCCTCTACATATAGTAAACCCCTGCATATATAGGACTTTCTTTTGGTTATTACAACTAATTTTATTAAAATTGTGTAAATAATTTTTAATATTATTCTATTACTCTAGGAAAGTACAGTCGCAATAATTGCAAGTCTCTTATAAGATCATTTTGGTATTTTACAAAATGGTTAATAATTTAAGTATACATTTTTAAAAAATTAAAAATACTTCTTTTTAATATTGAAAATTGTACCAGTTGTATTTACTTGATGGTGTAAATCATGTCACAACAATACCATTCAATGAAAATAAAAAGATCTCTTATTATGAAATAAAAATAATTTTGAAATATTTTTTATTCGTTACCTTTAGTTACATATTATTCTTGAACACTATTTTGTGCGCATAATAACAATTGCGTTCCGCACATATATTTATGTAAATAAACACAAAAATATAAAAAAATTATTTAATTTATTTAAAATAGTTATTTAGAAATTGTAAAGTTTTTTTGTATACCTGTGGTGTTAAATGTTAAATTCTAATTTTAATAATCAAACGTTTACTATATTTTTTATGGTTTTTTACTCAAAAAATTATTCCTTCACACTTTTTTGTCTAAAAAACTCATCACACTCGGCGTACTAGTATATACCTTAGGTATTTATCTCTAATATGGTATATTTTTTTTTGAAAATCTGACTTTTTGATAGTCATAGAGGGGAATTCAAACTGGTAATTTTTTTAACAAAAAATGAACTTTTTCAACTTAATTTTTGAAAATATTCTGGAAATACCGGATATCATCTACACTTGTCCGAACTATGCGCGTCTACACTGTGACACAGCCCCATTACGTTTTATAATACTCAATACATATACCTTTATCTTATTACGTATTAAGTCAATATGTTGTATATGTTTAAAAATATAAAATAAAAAAACAATAATTTAGTTCCAATGCAGAACTTAGAGGCTATTGATTTTATCGTATGTTTATTTTTTTGTGACTCGCGAAAAATTATTATTTATCTTATAAATATGATTGTTATTGAATTTGGGTTTTTTTTAGAAAAACTCGATAGAACTATCCGAGCAGTAAGATGATAAAAAATTAATGGATTTTTAATTTATTTTGGATAAAACCCTAAGTTTTGGAATGTTTGTATCCCTATTTATTGGGATTAACAATAAATAATATTTTTGAGAGTACACAAAAGTTTAATAATTAATTAATAAATCGTTTAATAGTTAATGGGCGTTGCAATTATATTACAACAAATTTACACTACTTTTCTTATTATAATAAATATCACAAACTGTTAATACGCCTCTCACAGCTGTCGCATATCATAAACAATCTCCGCTAGATGGAGACTGGTATCATTAGATCGGAACCCGTCAATAAGTGTATAAGTAAACTCATTGTTTTGCCAGACCTAATAATCTATGGCCCTGGTTGTTAACATTTTCAGTAAGATATTAAAATTTTGATAAATAATATAATAACTTTTAACACATAACATTTTTAATATTCATAATTGAAATAGTGTATTGCGTAGAAATATTGCAATTTACTTTTAGCATAAATTTAAAATTACCCAAATTTTAATTAATACGTTTAATTAATTTCCGAGACATAGTATTATTTAAAACAAGTCCAACTTTGGGGACTTGTATTTTTTTGCATTAACTGTTACCACACCCATCGAAAATAGGCCTATCCGACACAGCCGTTATGGACATGATGATTTCGAATCTGCAACAGCAACGGCAGATTACTGAACAGTTACGACGTGAAGCAGCAGTTAAACGCTTACCCGTATCGCAGGCCATACAGGATATAATTAAGTATATAAGAGAACGTGAAATGGAAGATTGTCTAATGGTTGGATTTTCATCTCAAAAAGCAAATCCTTTTAGAGAGAAAAGTAGTTGTTTGGTTATTTAAGTATTGTATTTATTACTATGTATTGATTTATTTATGAAGACAAGTTATCATAGTTAATTATAATCCATAGTGTTAAAATTTCTAATTATCAATATGAGTTTGTTGTATTTAAGTACACTGATTATACTTTTAAGTTAATTTTTATATTCTTATTAATTAGCTGCATCATAAATGTATATTATATATTAATTTTATGTTGTATGTTAAGGATTTAATTCATTTTTTATTAGTATTTAATATTTTTGAATATAACATAATCACAAGTAAAGAATTTAGTTGTAATTATTTACATCTACAATGATTGTAAGCTACAGCTCTTTTTTTAAAATTACTTTTCTTAAGAATGAAATCTTATTATACAATATAAATATCAATGAATAGGTAGATTGCCGAGGTCACTTGGAGTTCAATTGCTTTTAGGCAGTTATCAAATCAGTACCCCTTCTGAATGAGATATTTAAAAATTTATCATAGTAGGGGTCCATTTAATAAGTAAATTGGTGTAAAATTTTCTTAATTTTACAGGAACTGAAAAAAGCTTATCATTACTAATTGAATTAATGCATACATCATATATGTATATATCTAATTTTTTTTGTTCTTATTCTATTAAAAAAAGGCTACTAACTTATTTTTTTGGAAAAAGTTTGATTTCCAATATATGTTTAAATTTTAAAATTAATAAAAATTGCTTTTTGATTATTTAATGTCAATATAACATCTTTTTGAAAAAATACATTGATTTTTCAAACTGAATATTAAAGTAACAATAAAAAAAAAAATTTTTTTAATTATGATTGTGGGAACTTTTTAGTACTCAGCCGACCAATTATCAGACTTGGTTGTAAGTACAATGATCACCAACTCGTCCCTAATTGTATATAAAATAATTATACACAATAAATTTCACTATTAAATAGTGAAAATAAATAAATTTGATTGAAAAATAACAAATATATATTTATATAATCTAACACCAGTATTATAATAAACTAAAAAAAAAAGAACAGTTGGATACTTTTTATCATTTTGAAAATAAGAACTTTAGTTTATTTTGTAATTCCAATAACACCGCAAGCCAATCTAGCACCAGCATTTCCAGTTGTTGAACTCAATTCATGACCACCTTTACCTAAATCATCTTGATCAGCATGAACCTACATATATGACATAATATAATGAGTATAATATGTTTATTCAATTAATAATTAATTTAATGTTGTAGCATTTGCAAAATAAATCAATGTATAGCATTAACATACTAAAAAATCTACTCTAACTTAATCTATTGAATACAACACATAGCAAAAAAATTAAGAACATGGAATATCTAAAACAAATAAGATATATAATTTTTAATTTCTGATGAATAGGAAAAAATGTCTAGTACAATACTCTTAAAAAAAAAAATCCATTGTATTTCATTAGGGATAATTAGTTGTTAAACACGAAAATTTGGAGATGCTTTTTGACTTTGATAATTAAAATTGTTATTTTATACTGCAATTTAATTTATACACTATTGGTAAATAATTTGTGATAAAAATAATTTTTAGCACAGGTGTATACTTTCATATTATTTTTTTAATCAGTATTTAAACATTAGATAGTGAAATTGTACCAATCATGTCAAATTTTCCAAACCTGGTTATTGGTTGAATAAAATGTTAGTATTAAATGGGAAAAATTAATTTTGATGACGAAATTAATAAAAAAAAAAAAAAGATGAATTTATTTAATTTTGGGAACTCCTTAAAATATTATCATTAATCACTTNATTAATAAAAAAAAAAAAAAGATGAATTTATTTAATTTTGGGAACTCCTTAAAATATTATCATTAATCACTTGATAGTTGCAAATTTTCAATCATGAATGGTTTATTAAAATATCTAAAATGGATAAAAATATATAATTTTTCATACAAATTAATTCTTAAGTGTAACTAACGTGTATCCATTTATTATTTTCCATCATTCTGATATAAAATTCAGAATGTTAGGATATTCCTTTTGGGGTTTGTATAATGACAAGTTCATATATATTTTAAACTTAAATTAAAAGTAACTAAAAAATAAACTTAATTTTCACATTTTCATAGTACACTTAAATTTAATGTGTAATTAAAATGACAAAGGAATTAATTAAATAAAAAATTAAACTCATTAAAAAAGTCATTAGCTATCCAACTTAAATTAATTTCAAAATTTTAACTTAATTAAAAATTTTTTATGCATTAATACCCATTCTTTGATAACAGAGAAAGAAGACAAGGTAAGAAGACAGGTCCTGACCTGCGCTCAGGACTTAATGTATTTATAAAATTTGCTTGAATCACTTCTGAGACATTCAACTTCATGAAAAATAGACATAAGTATATATTGTAACATACGAATAGCTTTTGTACTATGGGCAGTGTTTCCTTACATCTCTCAAAACTAAATTTCTTGTCAATATACATTGTTTATTGTTAAGAAAAACTAACATGAATAATATAAATTTTAGTTTTTGATGTACTTGGAATGGCTAAAATAAACATTATAATTGTATGAAATATTGAATTCTGGTAATGACTTAAAATTAAAAAATTATTACACGGCTGCCACTAGAAATATATTTTAAAATAGAGGTAATAGAGACCATTAATAAAATGAATTTATTAACATCATAAGTATATTTATATACTTATATATATAATCAGGAGAGAGGGAGAAAGAAAACATAATCTACAAATGAGCATTTAGCATTCTTAATATCATGGCTGTCTTTTCATAAATCAAAACTCTAGCTAAAAGTAAAAAAGCTCTTTCAACATCTTCCTTTTCATGGGATAGTGATAGTATAATTTAATTAATAAAACTAGCATGTGGAAGTTTTATATCATTGTGTTGATTCTTTAAAATTTTTCAAATTAAATAAGTTTCTATTATTCTGATTAAAATTTAGTTAAACCTATTGTCACTAAAATTGAAAAAAAAACCCCCATTTTTAAAAAAGGATCTCAAAATTACAAAACTATAAAAAAAATGGCATTACATTGTTAAAAGTAAGGTTTTAAAGAGGCTACCTACACATGTATAAAAATTGTTTTAAATCTATTTTTTAAATGTTTTACAGTATATATGATAACTTCTAACCAATATAAAATTAAAGCTTTTAAAATTTAATACATATTAAAATAATAAAAATTGTCCAATGATTGTTCTTTTATGAAAAATTGGCTATCAAAGTAGAAAAAAATCACAATTTAAAAAAAATCTTTAAATTGTCAAAAAAATACAGAAAAACAACAGTAAGAAATGGGTTTTATGTATTTATGTTCCCAAAGAGTAGTAATTGATTAGTTAGAAAAAAGAATAAGTTGAACGATTACAGAAACTCTAGTTCATATTTTGTGATAACATAGGGTCAGTCAGACTTAGTGGGTAGATACGTATATTTTGACATATGGGATTCCGATTCAATGTCCAGGGTGCCAATTATTGTTATTTTGTCATTGGTAGTGTCTGGTCTCTGGTACAAGCCAGCCATAATTTAATTAATACCTTTGGCCTAGCCAAGACCATCTTTGATTCCCTAACATGTGAAAGAGAGCCTGCAGCATATTAAGTTCAAGAAATAGAATGAAGTAAAACTGAACATTATTTATTATTATTGTGTAAATAATTTAACAAGCCTTTAATATTTGAGTGAAATGTTGAAATATAGAAATTGAATGGCTAAATGAAAAAAGGATACAATAAACTATTAAAAGTTTTGGTTAACTGTTACTTTTTTCCATTCAGCTATTAAACTATAATATTATATTATAAATATACAAATTATTTAAAATTTAACAGATTCCCACCAAAGCATTTTATGATAGTGATGTTAATATGATGTCAGATATCATATATATTTGTCCCAACTATGTCATGTCTCTACTGTGCTGGGTTCTTGGTAATACTATGGTATGTAGTATATTCAGTTGACTATAAAAATCTCAAATACGTTACATATCAATTAGTATTTAAAGATAATTTTTTAATTAAGTATTTACTACTAGCTATATAATGCTTTATAATAGCTTATACACCCTTTAAAAATGTCAGATTTCTACTTCATAATATTTTTTGATATGAAAACTAAACAATTTTTCTAATGACTGTTATTTATATCACACATGATAGTTAAGTAATTTACAAGATATTATATGTTGTAAATTACTTATCAATACATATTCGATAACATTACATTTAGTTAGCTAAATTTGTAAAAGTAGAGACTTAGATGAAATAGACACCATGTGGCAACCCCATTATTAATGGTTCTAATACAAATATAACAAATGAATTAAATAAAACACTGATAAGCGTTACAAGTATAAAGTGAAATTTAATATATAAACACTAAATATTAAAAGATTAAGAAACAAACCACTAAAGTACGTCCAATTATATTGAGTGGTCCAGAGAGTGAAATCACCGAGTCACTGATATTTACTTTTGCAACTGAGGAATCATCAGCTATTATATTACCAAGATCACCAACATGTCTAGATTCATCATTAGGAGCACCATGGGTTTTTCCAAAAGGGTTAAAATGAGGACCTGAACTCATACAACCTGAAATAAAAAGTTTATAAGTTAAGGGAGTATCTAAGTATTTCAAAATCAAAATGTGTACTGAAAGAGTAAATCTGGAGGACTGATTGATTAATATATAATCAATATATCAAATTAAAGCTAATAACATCATTTACATAGATCATTTTTAACACAAAATTTAACACTCATTTTTTTTTTGGTTTAACAAAAACTACTAATTGAAGAATGTTGTTGTTGTCAGCTTCAATTTGATTTATTGATCATCTCTTCACTATATCTCCAGAATCTGTACACTGTTGAAAGTTGTTTTCTATTATTTACATAGTAGGGCAATATCCATCAAAGCCTTTTAAAAGTATATTGCTGAGATGTACAGATCATGATATCTTTAATAACTTCTGAATTCAGCAAATATTTTGTGTTACATTTAAATAATTTTTACAGTTTTGTAATATTTTTTCTTATTAGAGGCAAATAATAAAAATATGATTTTAAAGTAGTTCAAAACTGTAAAAAATATTTAAACAAAAAAGTAATGCAAACTATTTTTGGATTAACAGTTTTTAAAGATTCAGAACCCGGTGGAACATCTGTAAAGTAAAGTCTCAATCTATAAAGTAGAAAATTTTAACAATGTTTTTGATTTTCATTAATTTATAAATTCTAGAGTTTTTATTTGAACTTAATGATAAGCATATACATCACAATTTAGTACTTTAATTTGTTATTAAAATTTAAGTACAAAAATTGTTTGAAAATTTACTTCTTATTCAGTAATAAATTACTTTATGTATAGATGCAAAATCAGACTGATAATAAGTCTGATAATTTGCTTTGGAGTTGTAATAAAATAAAGCTCTTCTTATTGGTAAGTTTTAAGGTAAAATAAATTTGTTTTTCAAAAGTTTTTAAAAGTAAATGTATTTGATTGTTGCATCAGTACTATTAATTATATAATTCTTTTTTTTACAAATTATAAAAATATAATTTTTGGTAACATTTCTCATTGAAGGTCACTATCATATATCTTAAAATATAGACAAGAGTATTATAAAAATGATTATAGAATGAAACATAGAATATTTAATTTTAGTACTAATTACCATTGGTGTTATCTCCAAATTCATGAATATGAAATCCGTGTAGTCCTTTAGATAAACCAGTAACTTCGCCTGACAACACGACTGGGGATTTTTCATCCTAAAATAAATTTAGTTTTGTATAAATTTTAGTTTATTATAGAAATAGAAATTTGAACTAACGTTTTGCGAGAAAAAAACAGTTCCTTTAACATTTTCGCCATTTAGAACACAAACTGCTTTAATAACCATTTTGAGTTACTTGTATTGTTTATTGATTATATACGAAATAAGTTATCAAATTAAAATGTTTAATATAAACTGAAATAGCAATGTAATGATTGTTTTACCTAATATTAGGTTCTCAAGAAAATTGGAGCAATGCTATTGCTTAAAGTAATTAAATGATATCTGATAAATATTTATAACTATTCATGAGCTGTTGGTAAAATGTTAATTACTGTCAGGTCGGCTTCAATGAACCTAAGGAGTGATGTATTTAAATATATTGAACTTGCGGTGAGTGTTTACTATTTTGCCGTTAGATATCGCTATGATCAGTGACATAATGTCTTAATTAATATATATCAATATTATTCTACTAACCGTTCGTCTTTAATTTTGTATAATTTTTGAATAAAATATTAAATGCCGTATAATTTACCTTTTTTCATTTTCTCTGAGGATCTCGCATTGTCTAAATCAATTATATGTTATAAATAAGCACGAATTATAGATATAAAATCCTATTCATCTTTTTGAATCTATAAAAAATACTTGTTTATCTTATCATATGTAATATAAATCACATGTTTTACCCTTTAAGGGATCTGAATCAAGCAAAATTGCATTAATCAGTCTAGTGTTATAAATAATTTATTAACGGTGTCATTACATTGTGTAATAAATTAAAATATTATTTTTATCACCAGACGACAAAAGTACATGCATTTTTTAAAACTATTTTAGTTACTTATTGACAATGGAATATTTTATTTAATCTTACTGTAATCGAAAATTGTGAAGTGAGAAGTATTAATTATTTTATTTTGGAATATCTAATAATATTTTACTTTGAATTAATTATACGAATTATTTGATGATGAGTGATAATTGTAAAATTAACGATTATAACAAAAATTATAATTACAAATCAATTTCTGATTCAAGCACTAAGTTTTTTTTTTTAAAGCTTAGGCCAATGTTTATTATATGTGTAGACATTTATGTTAATTTCAAATAATCTTGAAGAAGTAATAGACGATTTATATCAGAACTTATTGGTAAATATCGCGCCATTTTTTAAGTTTAGTATTATCATTCATTTATGATGCTAGGAAACAGTGAGACTTGTGTCTAACTGTTTCCTGGATCACAATTCTTGATTTTTTTTAAGTTCAAGTAGAATTAAATTTTTATAGATTTTTTAAAGCATTCTTAAGTTAATAGTAAGTATATTCCATGTGTTTCCTTATATTTACTATGAACAAAATTTTTATTCAAAATTGTTAAATAAAAAAATAAATGTAAGGAACTTAATTGGTAAAATTAAGTGTATTCTTTAAAAATTAATCGAAACCCTAGGCTTATAGGAGAGTTTTACCATGTAATCTCATTTTTTGGCAGTGATTGGAGGTTTTTCTGATTCAGTATTATCCTTTCATAGAGTAACAGGATACGAGTGTTATGTATGGGTTCTATTGACGGATAAACTTATAAATGAAAAGATAAAGAATGAGTGATAGTTCGTTAAGCTAATATGATTTTAATTGTAATCATACTAATTTATGAAGTTCTGTTTATAATTAATACATAGGCATTTTGTGGGAGATTAAAAATTATTTTACAATTAGCTTTTGACTAGGGTTTCATGTGCATCCCAGGGATGGAATATTTGGATTCTAATTGGATGCTCCTTGAACTCTAGGCGAGAGTTCCACTGGATTAGACACTTAGACTAATGGCTACTAGAATTAGTTATTCTCAATTTTAAATTTTGATTTTATGCTCTTGTCAATGAACATGGCAATTAATTCTAATAGGTCACCTCAGTTTTGTAGTAGTATTTTATAATTTTTTCGATTGATTTTATTACTTGAAAATTCTTATTAACTTGTGTCTTCTATGTACATATACAGGGTGGTTTACAATATTAGACAAATCTAATAACTTTTGGTCCTATAAATATTTTGCGTTACTTTTTTTTTTTAATATACTATTAATATAGTCCAAAACTAACAATTATTTAAAATAAAAATATACAAAAAATATTAATATTACAAAATATTTGCTGGATTCAAAGTTATTAGATCTGTCAAAACACAATGGACCATTTTGTATAATATTATTAGTTTTATTAAAATGAAAAATAATTTAAAATTGCTTTTGTATTGATGAGAGTATTCACATTTTCATGACAAAATTAATTTGATGGTAAAGGTATTGTTTTATTTGAGTAATCTCTGAAGTGTCTGGGAATTTTTTTAAGTATCTAGAATTTTGACAGAATTGTTTTACTGTATAGTGCAAGACCAACGGCCTATATGGCACATTGCTGAATTATTAGGTAAGGTACTTACTTAGGAAACCTTTCTTTTGTGAGTTGCCTCTTTCATTGAAAATGTATAGAAAGTTAGGGAGTTTTAAAATTATAGAATTGTAAAAAATATTAATTTACATTAATTGCTCTAAAACTTATTAAATTTGATTTGACTTTTCAATAAATTGATAAAATTAATTATTTAGATTTTAGAAAAACAATTTAGATATATTTAATACACTTTTTTAATGAAAATAATTTTTTTATGTAAAGTGAATTAAGAAAATAGATCCTATTAGAATGCCTGGTAAAGTTAAAGTGCGTGTATTAGCTGGTCGTAATTTACCTGTTATGGATCGATCTAGTGATACTACTGATGCTTATGTAGAAGTAAAACTTGGTAGTACAACTTTTAAAACTGATGTTTGTAGAAAGTCATTAAATCCACAATGGAACTCTGAATGGTATAAATTTGAAGTAAGTATGTTTTAAACTTCCTATTAATTTAATGATAATTTAAGGATATTTCTATTAATTAAATTTTGTAGATTTAAAATAACATAATTTTAATTTAATATGCATCTAATTTTACATGATTTTCTTTGTAAAATTTTATTTAGTTAGATGATACAGAACTTCAGGATGAACCCCTTCAAATTAGAATAATGGATCATGATACTTATTCAGCTAATGATGCTATTGGCAAAGTGTATTTTAACTTGAACCCATTACTTTTGCCTCAACCAACTGTTATCCAACTTTCAGGACACCAAACATTAGCTGATACTCTTATTTCCAATCAAAGTCAAACAACAGGTTAGTCACCTTTGCTTTTTTTAATTTTGATTTATAAAAAATTACTTTATAACAGGTGGGTCTGTTGTATCTGGATGGTTTCCTGTCTATGATACAATGCATGGTATACGTGGTGAAGTTCATATCATCATCAAAGTTGAATTATTTTCAGACTTTAATAAGTTTCGACAGTCATCTTGTGGAATTCAATTTTTTTATTGTATTGAAACAATTTACATTAAATTTATATTGTTTGATTCTTAATTTTTAATTTGAAATATTTTTATATTAGCTGGAGCCGGTATTACTGCACATACAGAATGGGTTCATGGTTTTGTAGAAGAACTAGTGGTTGAAGATGACCCAGAATATCAATGGCTTGATAAAATTCGTACACCTAGAGCAACTAATGAAGCACGACAGACTATTTTTTTGAAACTTTCAAATGAAGTACAACGTCGAATTGGTCTAAAAGTTTTAGAATTGGGTGCTAATGCAGTAATTGGGTTAGATTATTTCTATTTTTAATTTATTTAGTAGATAAAATTTAATAAAATTTAATGAATCTGTAAGAAAATTCTCCCGAGTGAAATCGTTTTAATTTATCTTTCTATATTATTTATTCAATAATTAGTAATTTTGTATTTTTTGTCAAAAACAGCTTCCTCAAATTCAATTATGAACCAAACGAAAAAAAAAATATAGGTATTTTCACTTTGATATTCATTAATTTCTAATTAAGTATATTTAATAGTTATTTTATCAAAAACACTACTAAAGTATAGTATATGAGGACTTCACCTTAAAATAAAAAAGACTGTTTATGTTAACTAGTAAATTAAAAAAAATTTAATCAAATTTATGAAATTTGAAATGTAATTTTTAAGCTAGTTAAAGAGTAATGCAATTTTTTGCACTTGTGCATAAAAGTGCCCAACAGCCCTTGACTATTATTATGTATTTACTTTTCTTAAATAATTAACTACATATACAAAGTATAGTGTATCATAAATCACTTCATTATTTGCAAAATAAATACATTATTGAAAAAATAATTTTCAGTTATTTTGCATATATTTTTTGATTTATCAGCTACTAATTACTTATCTCTTATAACTAATAGGGATTTAATTTTAATTTTTTTTTATATAGAAACGTATTTAACTAGCTTATAAAATAAAAAACGGAAGAACAATGGGGTCGTGGCACAGTGTGGACAAAGCGTAGTTGGGACAAGTATAGTTGATATCTGACAGTTATTAAAATCACGATCATAAGAAATGCTTCGATGCAAATCTGTAGATAGTGTTTAATTTTAATTAATTGGTGGATTATTCCAAAAGCAAAATTAACTCCTATTTTCTTAATTATTCCTAATTAGCAGTTCTATGATTTATAAGTATAATATATGAATAAATATTTATCATAGAAATTAAATATAGTATGAAATTGATAATTAATAATTTAGTATGGTAGTTTTTACAGAGAAATTATAAACAAATTATAAAGTAGTTGTTACTTATATGGTAAACATGTATGAAAATTGAAGGGTTTTATAAAAAACTTATCATTTGGTGAGAATTATTAATAAATGGTCTAATTTTCACCAGAGTCGAAAAAATACTTTTCTAAACCAATTTTTCAATGATTTCAAATCTGCAATTAGATCCATCACCACAAATTTTACATATTATTAATAATTACTTAAAAACAAGTAATAATATATAAAAAAAGTTATTACCATGACTTTTAGCATAACTTGCAAGTTTAAAATAGACAAAATTAAATAAAAATTTTTATAAGAATTAAAAAAATTGTATTGTTATGATTAATATTAATGAAGCTCAATATTTTATTGAATTTTTATCGTAAGAGATCACTTAAATAGAAATCATAGTAATAATTTCTAAGTAATTTTTGGTATTTAAAAAGGTTTTACAATTGAAATATTCAGAACTTTATTAATTTTACAAACGTCGAATTTGTTGGGTAAATAAAAATGACAATTCAAGCTAATTCAAATTTCAAATTTATTTTTCTCGACTTAAAAGAAGTAAAAAAATTTAAATAAGTAACTTTCTATGTTATGTCAATTAAGTTTATATAATATTTACTAAAATCAGTGTACTACCCTTGTAAGGTATTTTAAAATAAAACAAAATACAAAATCGAGAAATTTAACACAAAATAGCATATTTTTGAATACAGTATCCATTTTCACCAAATACTAACTAAAGTTCGAATTTTTTTTTTTTAATATTACAGTATATTAAATAAGCTTTAACTAAAGATTTATATAAAAGAGTCAGTATTTCCAGAAAATTTTCTAAAAAAATTAAGTTGGAAAAATTCTTTTTTCTATATACATTTTTGATCTTGAGTAGACGAGAACTACCTTTTTGTCAGTCAATAAAAATAGATCATTACGAATTTAAAAGAGTACAACAGTTCAAATACCTCGATACTATTTTGACTGAAAAAAATAATATAGCAAACGAGGTAGCAGCGAGAATTCAAGCTGGGAATAAATGTTACTTTGGACTCACTAAGATACTACATTCAAGAGTAATATCGCGAAGAATGAAGGAACAACTATATACGTCCCTGATACGACCGGTTATATTATATGGATCAGAAACATGGCCACTTAGAAAAATGGACGAACAGAGATTTATTACCTTTGAAAGAAAAGTATTACGGAAAATATATGGCCCAGTCAAGGACGAAATAACTGAGGAGTGGAGACGAAGAAAGAATATAGAACTAGAAATACTATAAAGTGGTCCGAATATATTGAAGATTATCAGAGGAAGAAGACTACGATGGGCCGGCCATGCTTGGAGGAACCAAAATCCACTTCTACATGCAGTGATTGAACAAAATCCTGTAGGTAAAAGACCTTTGGGAAGACCAAGAATGCGCTGGGAAGATGTTGTAAAGAAGGATGTTGAGCAGATGGGAGGTGTGTCCAATTGGAGGGATTTGGCAGTGGACAGAGAAGGCTGGAAGCTTGGTTGTGAGACGGGATGGTCTTAAAGGCCCAATAAACCCAAGAAGAAGAAAAAGATATACATTTTTAAAATATTAAATTTACCAAATGATAGGTAAATGTCTAAGGTATCTATTGAAATAAAATTGTTTTATTTGGTTATTATTATTATTTTTTTATATTGTTTATTTTTAATTGTTCGATTTTAAAAATAAGTATGTCAAATGAAAGAAGTAAATATAAAGTATTTATGAAAAAAAAATTGTATTAATCTTTACATTTTTTAAAAAGTTATAGTAACTTAAAGTGGAAATAATGAAATATGAAATCTTAAATTTTAACACCAAAATTGCATGTTTTTTAACTACGACAACCATTTATACATAGAAGATACGTCGTTAAATAAATTTTTTTTTTTTTAACTTATAGTCCATAAAAAGCATTATTTTAACATTTGTTTGAAGCTTGGAGTATTTCTGGAACATTTTCAAAACTTAAGTTGAAAAAGTTAAATTTGTGTGCAGAAGTTACTATTTTGAATCCCCTCTTGTAGGCAGGTTTAAATTTTCAAAAAATTTATATCAAATAAAAGAGAAATATTTAAGGTTTCAATATAAAAAAGAATTGTTTTACAAAAAGTTATGGCAATTTTTATGGAAAAAAATGTCAAAATTTACCGATTTTAAATGATCACAGCTGAGAAATGACTAGTGACTAAAAATAACAACACCCTTATCTCTCTTCCAGTGACCACTATAAATATTAATAATTATAAAATTGAGTTGTGTTATTTTTATCATTATGAATTTTTTTACCATACTACTCTTTCCACTCAAGTATAAAAATATTCATAATTCCTGGTTCAATAGTTGTTATAGGCTAGTCATTTTCTTAGTTGGATCATTTTCTATTACATAAGTTAGTTAGATATGCATGTTGCCATTAAAAAAAATAAAGATGAAATCCCTATAAGATATAAGGAATAATTTTAAAAAGTAATTAGTAGCTGATAAATTAAAAAATATTTGTAAAAAAACCAAAAATTGTTTTTCCAACATTGTATTTATTTTGCATGTAATAAAGTGTTTAATTATAGACTATCTGTGTAACTATGTGCTAGTTAAAGACGTACTTTGTTATTCATCTTTTACAAAAAATTTTATTGAATTTTTGGTGAAAAAAATGAAACAAAAAAAATTCATTGAGCTTAAAAATATATTTTTTATAAACTCTAATATTTATATAAGATTAGAATAATATCACAAAATTAAATAGTAATCTTCTAAAAAATATAAATTTATTAATTTGTTAAAGTATTATAAATATTAAAATGTTTTTTTAAAATATGTTTTTTAGATATAACCAATATTTTGATTTGGAAGGAGAATCTGGCATTGTAGTCCGTGGGATTGGCACTGCTGTTACTTTAGTACGACATTTGACTTTACCATCTGCGAATTTAAATTTACCATCCACAATTGATGAGTGAGTAAAACAATAATATTTTGAGTAATTAATATTTTAAATTATGTAGTTTTATGCAAATTTTGTTTTAAACTTTAAAAAATAATTAGTCGAATCCTAGATTTTCCTAGATAAATATGAAACTATTGTAGACTTATTAAATACTCAAATAAAAATATTCAAGAAAGCATATTTGAAAACTATATTTTACAATTTACTGAAGATATATTATTCTAAAAATCTGCACCTAAAATTAAAAAAAAAAAAATGTTTTATTAAATTTACAATTTTAACAAAATGTCTCCGTTTAAATAATTTCTCATCATTTTATACAAATTAAACTGTAACTATATTTTATATATCTAATCAAATATTAATTATAGATATTTAATTTTGTGCCATTATTATTTTGATAAATTTAAGATATTATACACTTGACATCAAATATACTCTTAATATTATTTAAAAATTAAATAATATTTTAATTAAAATTGATTATTTATTGTAACTTTTATTTATTATTTTTATATGAAAAGATCGTTAATTTCTTTCCTCTATTAAGAAATAATTTTATTAAAAAAAATTTTTTAGCTTAAAATTTTTATTTTTAAGTCTTCCATCATTTCTACCAATGAACTTATTTATTATTATTATTTTTATTTAAAATAATGTAATAATATTATTATATTATTTAAGATATTGTTAATAATTCTTTTGTTTTGTGTTTATTTGTATTATCACTAACATAATAAAGTTTAGAATTTTCTAATTCATTTTCTTTAACTGATTGTGAGAATTTTACTAGCTCATTAACTGATAATAAAAAAGATTTAATTGTGATTAATAAAGTCTCTCCACATCTAATAAAATCTAATACTGTTCATTTTGCTGAGCTTTCAAGTATGAAAAGTATGTTTGATCAAGAAAATATGCGTAGATCTAAATCTAAATGTCATAATCGATTTTTAAAAGCTATTACTTTTCAAAATTCTCATCATAAACATAAAAAAAAACAGAAGTATTCTGTATCAGTTGATTCTGTAAGTTCTTTGTCTGATCATGATCCCCATTATAATACTTGTAACTCAGCTTTGGGTTTTTTGGCACAAGCTACATTGGATATTAATTCTTCATTTGAACTACAATCTGATTTTGAAGAAATGAGAGCTCAACATTTTAAAAGACAACTTATAAGGCAGTCAAGTATTGATACTCTAGCTTCTAAATTGTCTTTAGAATATTTATTTTGTGGTGATACACAAAAAATATCAAAAAATAAAAATTTGTTACCTCATATTATTCTACAATCATCAAGCTCATTAAATTCATTTTCTGATTCTACAGCTGAATCTGAAATTGCTATTGGTTATGATACCTTTAATAAACTTCACATAAAAGATATCTCTCCTAGTATATCTGAAAACCCTTCATGTTATGCTGATTCTTCTGATTCTGTAGATCGTGATTCTGATGACCTACTGAGCACTACCCCTGAACCCTTATCTCGAGATATCTGTACACCACCGCTTTCAAGGATTGTATCTAACAACAAAGAAACTACTCCACCGCTTTCAAAAATTGTTTATTTTAGCAACACTAAATCAAGTTTTCATAGTCCTTTAACAGATATATCCAGGAGTGTGTCACCTTGTAACTCTAGTAGTTTTAGTAATTCACAGAACACAATTTTACACAACACACCACCTCTACCAATGTTAGATAATATTCATGTAGAATGTGCAATTAACATTGAACCTAGTGTAATAGATTCTGATGAAAATGAGTGTTATGCTTTCTCTAAAAATATAACTGCATCCAAGTGTTCTTCGCATGCTTCTAACTGTGATGATAGGAATGGAGAAATGGCTGAGTCTCCAGTAAAAGCCACACATCTTCAAATGCATCGGAGGTCTTCTGATTCTGAAATCAGTAGTGTACAAAAAGGTAATTTATGACTTATATAAATTTTAATAATTATACATGTAAATTTATACTGCTCTACTAAGTTTGTTCTAAGGTAGTTCTATTTTCATAAATACAATATTTTTCAAAGTGAAATATATCAATTCTTATGGTAGTATATCTGATAAATGCAATAACACTACTATTCATCTTCTTCTTTGGGCTAATTAAGACCATCCCATCTCACAACCAAATTTCCATTTTTCTATGTCTATAGCTAGATTCTTCCAGTTAGAATCTTCTCCTAGACATATAACATATTCCCAAAGATCTTTTCCTTTACAAGATTCTGCTCTATTACTGCATGTATCAGCGAATTTGGTTTCTATAACCATGTCCAGCCCATTGCAGTCTTCTCTCCTGATTTTCTACTAAAAAACTAGAATTTCTACTATGCTCAAATATTATATAGTATTAATATATATGTATTTTTTCTTCTACTCCAATCTCCAGTTAAACTATTTTTGACTGGAACATAAATTCTACACCAAACTTTTCTTTCAAAAATAGAGTTTGTTTTCATCTTTTTTTCCGAGTGGCCAAGTTTCAGATCTATATAGTATAACTGGTTTTATTAGGGATGTATATATCTGTTTCTTCTTTCTTCATGACATTGCTCGTAAATTTAATACCTTTGTTAATCCATTATAACATTTATCTCGCTTGAATTCTTGCATATATCTCGTATGCTATATCATTATGTATATTTAAGACAGTACCTAGGTATTTGAATTCATTTACCCTTTTAAATTCATAATGGTCTATTATTATGGACTGGCAAAGTAGTATACCCTGTTTATAGAAATATTTAAAAATATGTATAATAAATATTTTCTATATTTATTTATATATATATATATATATATCATGATATAATAATTTATATTTACACATTATTTTTATTAATTATTTATTATTTACAATTTACTTATATCATTATTAATAAAAATACATAACAAATAAAAATTAATAAGAAAAATTATTAATATAAATAATTAATATCTATATTTATTCTTATTAATACAAAACAATGAATTTTATTTTCTATTTATATTAATTAAAATATGAATAAATACTATAATAAATATATTTATTATTTACATTAATTATGTATACTTTTTTATTTTTATGAATTTAATTAATTTCAATAATGAATAAATAGATTTTGTTAAATTATAATGTAAATATATTTAGAATTTTATTTTTCAAAATAAAGTTCTATAACATTAAAGTATAATATAAAGTAAATAACATTTTTAAAAATGCAGTGCATTTTTTAAAGTTCACATCAAGTGTATAAAATTATATGTAATAAATTATTGTTATTAAAAAGTAATATATTAATTAAAAATAAATACTTAGATTTAGAAGAAAAAGATATCAATTAAAAATTTTATTGTTCGATGAACATATAGTTCAATAAACATGTATGCAGGGATTCGGAAGGGAGCGAATTTTGTTCCGTTCCAATATTTATTCCGGAACGGAACTTTTCCTAAAAATCAAGTTGGAATGTAAAAGTTTGTAAAAAGAATATAATTATTAAACATACATGCAGGGATACGGAACGGAACAAAAATATTGTTCCGGAACGTGAAATTTCGTTCCGTTCCGAGTTTGCTCCGGAACGGAACTTTTGCTAACAAACGTTCCGGTCATTTGTTCCGGAACGGAACTATTATTTAAATTCGTTTCGGCTATTTGCTCCGGAACGGAACTTTTCCTAAAAATAGTTCCGACTATTCGCTCCGGAATGGAACCTATGCTAAAAATTGTTCCAACAATTTACTCCAGAAAGGAGCTTATTCTAAAAAACGTTTCGGATAAAAAATTAAATTATATTAATAACTATAATAATATTTTGCGTATGGAGTTTTTATATTTAATATGTAATCAATATAATTATTGCAACATTTATTCAAATGCTTTGCGCAAAATATTAATAATTATGACATAAATTACTTAACGTATTTAATATGTTAAAAATAATCAGTGCAAATTATAATTTTTAACCTATTTTTTGGTCTTTAAAGTTAATTTTTTGAAAGTTTATAATGAAAAAAAAGGTTTATTTGTTACCATAACTTATAACTCAACTTCAAATTTGAAATTTAGATTATTAAATAGAAAATTGTATGTGAATTAAAAAAATAGTATAGTATTTAAAGTGTTAATAATTTATTCATAACCATGAAAAATTTTTATAGATAACGTTATATAGTTCTTTGTGTTATATAAAATCTATAATAATAATATCTAGTAATAAATTAGTATTTGGTACTTAGTCAAGTTGAAACATTGGATATTATTGTAATTGTGGGGGAATTAATTATTTAAATTTAAATTATTTTTATTGTCTATTAAAAAATCAGCTACTACAAGGACGGTTAATTCGTCCAGATGCCCTCGAATAGAATGTATGCTGTCAACTCATATTCGTGACAAGTTTACTTTCTAATGTTATNATATTCGTGACAAGTTTACTTTCTAATGTTACAAAAAAAACAACTTCATGCAAATTTCTGATCAGTAGATATTTTTATTGTATTTGCATTGTTATTTACGTGTAAAAATCATAGAGTAACTCTATGGTAAAAATGACACGGTATAATTAAAATTTAAGTTCCATAATCGTCAATAATAAGATTGTTTTTATAAATTCAGAAAAGCGACTGCTAAAATAAATCTAGTTATAGCAATGCAATACGTTAAAATAATTGAATAGGCTGAATATAACGCTCTCCAGTTGGACTTAAGTACAAAGATCTGAATCCGTAAGAGGCTCACCTCTATATAAAAGATAAAAATTTAATAGTAGATTAATATAAAAAAATGTAATAATAATTTAAATGTGATTAATAAATATCAGAGGGGTGAAAATAAATAGGAACGTTCCAAAGCATTTTTGCGAAACAATTTGTAGCTAGCATTCTGTTCCGCAGCAAATGGTCAGAACGATTTTTAGTATAGGTTCCATTCCGGAGCGAATAGTCGGAACTATTTTTAGGAAAAGTTCCGTTACGGAACAAATGACCAGAACAAATTTTACAAATAGTTCCATTCCGGAGCAAATAGTCGGAACGAATTTTACTAATAGTTCCGTTCCGGAGCAAATAGTCGGAACGATTTTTAGGAAGAGTTCCGTTCCGGAGCAAATAGCCGGAACGAATTTAAATAATAGTTCCGTTCCGGAACAAATGATCGGAACGTTTGTTAGCAAAAGTTCCGTTCCGGAGCAAACTCGGAACGGAACGAAATTTCACGTTCCGGAACAATATTTTTGTTCCGTTCCGTATCCCTGCATGTATGTTTAATAATTATATTCTTTTTACAAACTTTTACATTCCAACTTGATTTTTAGGAAAAGTTCCGTTCCGGAATAAATATTGGAACGGAACAAAATTCGCTCCCTTCCGAATCCCTGCATACATGTTTATTGAACTATATGTTCATCGAACAATAAAATTTTTAATTGATATCTTTTTTAAAAATAGAATCTGTTTGACAAAGGTTTATGTTTACAGAACAATAGAATTTCAACCGTATACCATAATAAAAAATTAGAATTTGTATGATTTTTTTTATCAGACCCTCTGTATAGAAGTTTCATTTCATAAACTTAAGTACAGTTCCCATGAGTAGTTGAGAAACAAAGATAAAAATAAATAAAAATGTTTAATTTAATCAACTAGGTTGTGATGTGATTAGTTCTTACACATTTTTGTGTTTCAAATACTAAAAATCAAGTAAACCATTTTCAAATACTTACAAATGTAGTGTGATTAAGGTTGGTTTGAATTCATGAATATTGCTACCTATACTCTACAGTGCAAAGTATAGATAGTTTTGTTCAGAGTCAAAATAATGAATTCTCTTTTTTACTTTAAGTGTATATTTAATATTCTTTAATTACACTGAGCAACAAAAAAATATTTTTTTAAAAAAGTCTAGGGTTTTCCAGCTGAATTAGACTAATTTAGATGCCCTGAGTCCGAAAATGACCTTGGTTTTGTTCTATCAGGTCAGGATTTTTTGCTACAGAAATTTTTAAAAATCGATTTTTCGTAAAAAAACATTTCTTTGGATCATCTGCTGAGAAACCCCAGAAGATTTTTTCCGTTTTCCTCAAGAAATAAAAGTCAACGTATGCAAATTTATTAAGTTTTTATTTACTCCATCAAATTAAATAAGCATATTTATCATAATATTAGTATAACAATGAGCGTTACGTGACACAAAAGTTCAGAGTTCACGGCATATATCGGCGTTTCTTCGATTCCCGTTTGTGAGCNATCTTCCGGTTGATGCCAGTAGTATTGATAGCGCAGAAGTAACAATCCGATGCATGGTCTAAGGGCTCCCTCCAAACCATCGGAATCCCAAACTTCAGTGAAGTTTTCGTGCCCTTCGTCCACCGCCGGAGGTATTCCACGCAGTTCTTGCAGACCGTGTGCGGTGCCCAGGGCTTATCTTGGTCACCCAGCTTGACTTTAAAGTAAGCCTGGTAGGCGTTCTTCACAAATCCCGTGATGTTCTTCCTGTCCACTGAAAGCGTGTATTCTCCGCAGATGTAGCAGAAAACGTCAGGATTATTCATGCATGAACGTCGCGCAGAAGCCATATCAATCTGAAATAGATAGAAATATGCAGTTTACTGTCAGACAATAAAAATTAGAATAAATTTTATACAATAATAAGAATAAAAGGCATCTATTGGAATGATTAACTGTTACAATCTTAAAGGCTTCTTTTGTTTTCATATGTCCTGAATAATCCCCTTAAAACCCCTAATATTAGCATTTTGAAGCGTATAAAAAGGCTTACATTTCAGGGAAAAATGGTCATTTAGGCCTATGGCTGTATCTCAAAAAGTTGACCTGATACAGCAAAATCAATGTGATATTCGGACTCAGAACACCAAAATTAGTCTAAATCAGCTGAGAAACCCATGACTTTTTTTTGGTTGTTACCCAGTGTTATTAATTCATATTTGATTAATTTTTTATTTTTATGAATTATAATTTAAAGGTACTAGTTTGGCAGGAAGTGGAGGTTCAACAACAAGCTCTTATCGTACTTTAGGACATCCAATGTTTCATCGTTCAATTCTAAGTAAAGACACATTAGATGCAATGGAATATCCATTCTTAACAATGACCAAATATCCTCCTGGCTTTATTTTACACCTTGGTATTTATTGTTAATTTTTTTTTTCAATATTCTTAATAATTAAATAATTAAATTTTAGGTGGTATGGTAAATGCAAAATCAGTTAAATTATTAGAACGCATGTCAAATATGGAAGAACCAGAGAGTAGAGATGCATGGTGGAGTGAACTTAGACTTGAAATGAGATCTCATGCTCGAGCTTTGTCTTGTAATGTTGTGCTGGGCTACTCAGAACATACTTCAATATGGTAAATAAAATATGATAATTAATCATCATTTTACATTAGAATTTTATAACAGTATAAAAATATATTTTAGGACATGATTTTTTTTTAGTTTTAAATTATCAGTAGTAGTAACTTTAAGTGAATTTTAAAAATTTTATAAGTCAACATTTATTATTAGATGATGCTAGGAAATTTTTTTTTCAATTTGATTGTTAATGATTTCTTTTAATAGGAGAGAGGTATAAAATAGTATACTTAGGTAAGACAAATACAAGGAATGGTGTAGAAATAATAATGGATGAGAAGGTGAAAAGTAAAGTAGTAGACATAATTAGGAAAAGTGATAAACTATAGTGGTCAAATTAATTTTTGGAAAATAAAGTTATTAATGTAGTAAGTCCGTTTGCTTTATAAGTAGGATGTGAAGAAAAAGATAAGGATTTTTTTTAAGAGAAATGGATAAGGATATGGTCATAGGTAGGGATATGAATAGACTTATCAGTAATGGTAGGAGAAAGTATAAAAGAATGTGGATATCATAAGCATAGCATAAAGCTTTAAGAGTCATAGTATGAAGATTATGGAAAAGATAATAGATAAGAAAAAAAGAAGTGAGATATCTGTGATTAAAAATTAGTTAAGTTTTTTACCTGGAAAGTTAATGATGGAGCTGTATTTTGTGTAATAGAAGAAAAAGCTTTGTATGGTATTCATATATTTGGAAAAGGAATTAATAAGAAAAGGTATTCAAAAAAAGTATATATTGATGTAATAGAGGGAGGGTATGTATGATTACATTTTTACTAGGGTTAAGTGTTTATGGAGATACAGAAGATTTCAGGGTAATAATAAGCGTGCACCAAGATTCTCCTTTAAGCTTTTATCTAATCTTTATAGTAAAATTATTAAGGAAATACAAGGAGAGTATATAGGGGGTGATATGAAAACAGCTAGTATGTGGATAGATGACGTGGGAGATTGTGTCAAGTGGAGGTTTAGGTTATGGATGATTGACCCCAATGAGTTGGTGGATTAAAAGATAGGGAAAAGAAAATATTGTTATAACTACTTAAATTTCAAAAATAAATTAAGCTGTCTTAAATCTGAGAAATTTAAATTTTAAGAAATATTTTAAAACTTAACGGGTTTTTTAAAATTATTTGTTCTGATGTGAAACCAGGGTCATTAATCATAATGATCCTACTTCAAAATTGGTTATTAGCTATTAAATGTGTGATTATTTCAGCTTCCTATTTATTTACTTTCTCAGCTTCGCATCAAAGCTGATAAGGTATTAATTTTACTATGATGATTTTTTTTTTTTTTTATTAATTTTTATTTTTTTTGTGTGTGTTACTACTTTTTCTTAGCTCTCACCAAACCGATTTTTTTCAACGATACGTCAAAAGATCACAAATTGTATCTAGTCGAAGACATTACCCTCAAAAATAGAAAAAATTTCCCTCGCTCCCCATAAATGGGGGAAATCTCCAAAAAAATTACAAATTTAATAATCACTAATTTTCGACATTTTTTCTACTTAAAACTGTTATAACTTTTTCAAAAATGAACAAATCAATATAATTAATTTTTTTATAGATGCATAATGTCTTTACCTAACATTTGATATATTTTTTTTTATAAATTTGACCCTTTACCTGTCCATAGGGAGGATTAAAAATGACAACTTTTTCAACTTAACTTTTGAAATTATTCCCTAAAGTCTGACACTTTTATATATATCTTAAATTAAAGCTATTGTAATATACTTTATTATGGAAAAAAGAAATTTTGGACTTTATTTTGTCTTCATGGTGAAAATAATTTCCGAATGTTATTTTTGTGTGAAAATTCTCAATTTTATATTTTACATTTTTAACTTTATAATGCTATAACTTATTGAAAAGTGTACGGATCAATAAAATTGTTTATGAGAATTAATATTTATATCCCTCTTTCATTCGACATACTTTATCTTAATCAGGATATAAATAAGAAAATAGCAGATCATATAGCTTTTGCAATAATCCACCAATTTTTTAAAATTAAACACTATATAGTTTTGTATCAAAGCGTTTTTTATGATAGTGATTTTAATCACTGTCAGAAATTATTATACTTGATCCAACTATGCCACGTCACCACTATGACGCGACCCTTTGCTGGATTTTTTTTATATAAAATTATTGAATTTAAATAACTTATATTTTTTGTAGTGATGATGTTTGTGTACTTAGTGCTACAGGAACAGCTGCTATAGTGAATTTAATACCTTCTGTAAATCCTGGTGGATACTATTCTAGTATTTATCCTAATACATCACTAGCTGAAACTCAAGAAACCACAATAGTGAGTTTATTATAATATTTATAGTTAAAATTTATTAAAATAACATTATTATCAAATTTATTAATAAAAATTATTTCTATTGTTTTTTACACTTTATAATTTTTTAGTCTTGTAGTAATAAACCACATAAACATTCTATTAGTGGAAGTCACGAAAAATTAGATTCATTACCATGTTCAATTTGTCATATTCCATACAATGAACTAAGTGTACCTTTTTCTATGAATATGAAGTATTGTTCAGTTTGCAAGTTAGTTATAAATGAGACCTATTTTTTTAAGTTATACTTATGACTTAATATGTTATTATGATTTACTAATAGACGGCATAAAGTTCCTCATATTCTTTTATCTTCGTTGGAACCTATGGAAAGGCTTTCCATAATTGGTACTGGAACTTTACTGCAAACTTTTGTATGTCGTACAAAACGTGATCTTAAAGGAGAATTAAATGCAAAAGAAATATCAGATGGCTTACCATTTTTAGAATATGAACTTCATAGTCAGTTATTAAATAAATTAAGAGTAAAAGGAATGAATGCTATTTTTGGCCTTAAAGTAAACAATATTTTTATTTTAAATTTATACAATATATTTAAGTAATATAATATAGTAGTTTAAACAAATATTAAAACAAATTTAATCATTTTTGATACAGAAAATATTTCACATTATTTATATTTTATAATAATTTTTAAAGTTTTGGACTATGTTAAAAGCATATACTTATTTTTTCAATAATAAAAAAAGGTTTTTTTTTATAAAAAAATTTGATTAGTCAATAACAACTTTAGGTTAAGTAGTTATTAAATTAGAAGCTTTTTAATACATAGAGTATAGAGCAGGTGAAGTGCACATACATCAGTACAAGCTGTACTCCTATCAATAATTTCTTATCCTAAAGTTATCATTTTATCAATTTGTTTTATAAGAAAAATGTTAAACAATTGCTATTTTAAAATTTTTTATCTATTTTTATAATTTAATAATAATAAAAAATGTGCTTTGAACTTAGTGAAAAGAAGTAAGAATTATTTAAAAAATGTAACATGAAAATATTTGTTAGATCAAATATCTTAAATTTGTCAAATCATCATGGATAATCTGTATATTTATAAATTTATACTATTTAATAATTTTATTAGTGACTTATTATTTTTTTAAAGGTTCAAGTTTGTCTTGGAGAACGGGTAGTGTCTTTACATGCTACTGGTACTGCAATGTATTTAGCTTGTTTACCAGAACCTCCATTACCACTGGTAAAAGCTGGCAAGTCTTGGGCTCATCCAGATCAACAACAAGTATTACATGCTCAAAAGTTATTAAATGAAGCAGTGTTAAACAATCGTCAACACTACCATCTTTTACAAAAAGTTTGATATATTTTTATGAAAACCATTAGCAGATATTTTATTTTTTAAGTTATGTGTTTATTTCAGGATGTTGAAACTGATAATAGTTCACTAAATATTCTTGGAAAAAATTTGCCTGATATAAATTTGAGTTATGGAAATAGAGATACATGCATTTTAGAGGTAATCTTATGTATTTAAAATAAATTATGTTGTTAATCTCATGTTAAATAATATAAATTAAAATGAAATGTAATTAATATATAGCTATTCAGGGTGATTCGACCTATTTTATAAAAGTATGAAATAAATTACATTAATATATCTAAAACTTTAAAAATGTTTAACTAATTAAATATTTAAATATTTTTATTTTTTATTTGATTTGTACTTGCACACATTCAATTGTAGACCTATATTTATTGAATTGCAGATATGTAGAAATAAGGTTACAGGGACACAGGAATCTCCCATTGACTGAGTCATGCTAATATTTAATCATATTGAATTTTTTTATTTTTGTTGAAAGGTTGTTGGGCCAATTATTCTTTATAAATGTTTAAGAATTTTCAAAAAATTTAATTAGGTATACCTAATGAATGCAGACGTTTCTGTATAATATTAAAAATTGAAATGAAAAAAATTATTTGACATTTGTTATTGTAATTTGAAAATCTAGAAAAAAACTTGTAATTTTCCATTTTTTTCGTTTTTGATGACAACTAATGAGATAAATCTTTTAATTTCTAAAATTTAGGGTTTTTTTTAATTTTTGAGGGTGATGTTTTAGATAAAATTTAGGTTCTTCTTAATTATAAGACATTTAAATCACCATAAGAGTTAAACATTTTTATGGACAAATGCAAAAAAAAAAAAAAACCATCACAGTGAGGACGTTGCATAATTTAAATAAGTTTAGATGATATCTGAGAGTGATTAACATTACTATTATAAAAAACCCTGCAATGTGAATCTGTTAAAAAAATTACATTAGTACCTAATATAAATTTTTTTAAAACTCACTTTGAAACCCTTTCTATATTTACGAGATGTGTTATATGTATGTGGTTCATTGAACTTTCTCAAAAAGTATACCAAAAAAAAAAAAGGCTTATTATCTTTAGTTTAGTGCTTAAAATTTTTAAAAGGATCAGTATTTTTAAAATAATACAACAGTTTTAATATACAGAACTTTTTTTTGAAAATTTGTATTTTATGGTAGTGCATTTTTTTAGATTTCTGAAGTCTAGGTTTTTTTTTTCAATTTTCGGAGCTGTAAAAATATTACATAAAATCTAGTTTTTTTAGGTATTATTTATTAAAATTGTCCAGTAGAAGCTGAGAATTTTCATGAACAGACAAAAAAAATGCACATTATCACAAAACTGAGCTTCTTAGCTTTCCACCAAAGCTACATTGATATATTTTTTTAAAGCTTTTTTTTATTTTGTTTTGTTAAAAAATGAAAACCAGTGCGTGTTACGAGTATGCACGGATGAAGTGAAACTTCTTTTGTTATGAAGATATTGCGATTCTTTAAAATTTTTTTATGCACAATCAAAATTATTTGAAATTAAATTATTTAATATATTTTAAATAAAATTACTTTAATTTTTGAAAATACAGTGGTAAATTATAATATAAAATATACTTTAAAGCCAACCGTGTCCAACTGTGATGCCGACCGTGGCCAACAGTTATGCCGACTGGTGGCAAACATTACAGCTACCGTGATGCGACTGTGATGCTTAATAATCTATTTTTTTTCAGACCGTCTGTTAAGAAGTTTCACTTTTTATATTTTCTCTTAATATTTGTTTCAAGTATGTATATGGTATTTTTTTGTTCCTTTTTTTCAATTTTTATATAGCGTCAAAAAAAAAAAAATTATAAGCAAAACAAATTTATTTTTGAAAAATATTTTTGTGCTTTCCATTTTAAATTTCTAAATAAAACTCTGGTTATACTAGACATCCTCTCTTTGGCAATTATTCATTCTATTATAATACAGATTTAGATTGATTATCATTTGTTGAAACTGTTGTTTTTATAAGGAAAAACCCAATAAAGTGTAGTTACGGCTAAGTGGAGACAAGTGTAGATGATATTTAACAGTAATTTAAATCACTATCATGAAAAATGCCACAATTTAAATTTGTAGACAGTGTTTATTTATTAGAAGAAATTGTCCAATAGCAACATTGAATCCTTATTTATATTTTGATTATAAGTTTTATAATTTATAAGTATTGTACATAAATAAATACTTAACAGGTTGTTTGAAAAGTCCTCTTACTGACGCATAGATGACGACTTTAATAACTTATCTTTATGATTTTTAGTTAGTACCAACCTTCAAATAAAACATGTCAACATTTTATGAAATTTCAATGCATTCCTAAGTTACAGTCATTGAAGTGAAGTAAGTTTTATGAGGACTCGTCGAAAACATCTATTTGTTGTTGAATTTCTGAATTTAGATGCGGTCGTATAGGCACAAATGACGTTGAACATACAGGACGCTTAAGTGATGTAGTTACGCCAAAAAACAAAAAATCCACAATATTGTGTTGAAAAATTTTTAAGTGAAAGTGTGCGAGACAGCTGACATTGTAAAGATCTCAATTGACTGTGTGTATCATATTTTATATGAAAATTTGGTATGAGAAAGCTTTGCTCAAAATAGGTTTGCTAACAGTGGACCAAAAACAACATGTTAATGATTCACAGAGCTATTTAATAAGAATAAATAAGAAGGAATTTTTGTATCAATATATGAAAATAGATGAAACGTGGATCCACCACTAAACTCTGGAATCGAAACAACAGGGAGCTGAATGGACTGGACCCAGAGAAAGTGCTCCAAAGTGACCAGAAACACAACAATCAGAAGGCAAGGTAATAGCCTCGGTATTTTGGTATGTGTATGGAATTATATTCATTCATCTCGAACATGATAAAACATCAATAGTGATTACTACTTTGCTTTACTGGAGCGATTCAAGGCCAAACTTGCGAAATAATGACTGTATTTGGCAAAAAAAGAAATCCTAATTCACTAAGACAATGCACTGTGTCACAAATCATTAAAAATGATGGCGAAAATGCATGATTTGGGCTTTAAATTGCTGCCACACCCATCGTTTAGTCCAGATCTGGCCATCAATGACCACTATATCTTCGCGAATCTCAAGCCGATGCTCCATGGAAAAATATTCATAATTTGAAAAAAGATTCAAATGAAGAAGTCATTGCCGAAACTGAGGCGTATTTAAGAGCAAAGATAAATCATTCCATTCAAAAGGCATAGAAATGTTAAAGTGTCGCGGCAATGAATGTATCACTCTAGAAAGAAACTATGTTGATGAATAGTCAAATTTTGCAAAAAAAAAGTGTTTTTATTTGTTAGTTCCAGAACTTTTCAAACAACCTGTTAATATAATAATTAAATTTAGTATCAAATTGACATTTAATAATTCAGTATTGTAATTTTTATGAAGAATTAATAAAAAGTTATTGAGTTGTTGTATATAAAGTGATTCTTTTAATATTACCCACAACTCGCTAATAAAATTAAAAATTATCTAATTAAGAAAATGACCGATTCAATACAATTTTTAAAAATGTACTTTACAGAAGTATTAATATGTTTTAATATAGAGTGGAGAGGAAGCTCAGTAGAGTGATGCGTAATGATAAAAATAAATAATCCACACTTTCACCTCTACTCTATATTTTAAAATAGTTACAACTTCTGAAATAATGTGTCAAAAGTTGTCATCAATCAGTCCTTTTTTTATTTAGATAATTTTTTATTCTATAAGCTAATTAAATATGTATGTTTATGAAAAATAAATAAAGTTAAAAAATACCAAAAAGAATTTTTTATAATATAACAATTATTTTAAATTGAATGGTTAATATTAAAAGATTCACTCTGTACACAAAAACATCATAATTTCTCCATAAAATATACAATACTAAATATTAATTTAATATCAATTTCAGGCTAAATTTAATTACTATAATAAGTATTTATTCATGTATTATACTTATAAATCCTTTTAATGTAAATTATGTAAAAATTTAATTATTAAAACTGTAACCTCCTCTTTAAATGGTATTTTAAATTAAAGTAAAAAAGTATGTCAGATAAAAGGGATATGTATATAATTAATTTATAATTTTAACACAAAAATAGTATGTTTTCAAGATAAAGTGTCAGGACAAAGTTTATTTTTAACTTATATTACGTAACATAAGTCTTAATTTAACATATGATTGAAACTCAGTATACTTCCGGAACATTTTCAGAAGTTGAAAAAGTTCTACTTTTAATATGAACGTTTCAAGTTTTGAACCCTTTTTTTGCAAAAGTTATAGCAGTTTATAGTTCAAAATATAAAATATAAAATTAATCATTTTATTACATAAAACATGTTTTTTTAACTACGGCAGTTATTTGCAAATACAAGACAAGTCATCGGGACAAATCTTTTTTTTAAACTTATAGTACGTAACATAAACTTTAATTTAACTGATGGTATGTCATACAATGATTAATATTAATCATTAAGTATTAATTGTCTCAATTTTTTTATATTTTTGAAAAATTACATTTATGATAGAAATTATGTTACCCTAGTAATTGTAAGTTTGCATACAACTTGACATTTTTTTAACTATTAGGAATTTTATGTATAATTGTTTTTAAATTTTAGATGGACGATGCAGAAGATGTTGATGTTGTTACTCAATTATTGGAACCTACTCCTCCTAATTCATTTTTGCTTTCAAATACAGATATACTTCCTGGAACTGGTTCTGAGGTTTTTCCCATGGAACCTGTTTGTAATCTACAGATGTTCACTCAAGTTTGGCGATCTAAAGCACAGTATACTAATGGAAATTTTGACAAACAACTTCATAGAATGCTTCAAGTTAAATACTATTTTAATCAACTTCAATAATTTGAATTTTTAATAAAATTATTATTTTGTATGTAGGGTTTATATTTTAAACTTAGAAGAATGACTCCATGTGGTTTAGGTAAACTGTCATTTAAAATAGATGTTCCTGAACCTGATGAATTGCAAATATCTATTGTTGGTTAGTGTAGAAAAAAAGTTATAAAAGGTAGAGCCAATATAAAATAGACATTTTTGCTTCTAGGTATGGCGCTGGGATTAGGCGAATCTGATAAAACTACTGTTAAACAAATTTTAGGACGAAGACAAATACCCGTAATAGATATTGAACAAAAAACTGGTAATTTTCATTTAGTTTTCAATAATTGATTATTTTTATTATTTTCTAGTTTAGTATAACACATTATTAGATAATTTATAAAATATATTTATTTAGGATGAAATTAATTTTCAGTATTTTTCTTAAAATCTCATGAAAATTTTTATTACAAAAAGTTAATATGTTGGGAATTGAAATTTCATTAAAAGAATAATTTTTATTTAGATGAGCCCATTTTTAAGTTAGAAGAAGAGCTTCCAATAAAACAAACAGATAAAAAATTTAGAAAAATGGAAAGAACTGCCAAACAAAATAGACTTTCTACACATGTAAGTATTATGATATGTTTCTTTTAATATTTACAGTTGTGTATAGTTTTTGCCCTTTTTCTTTCTTAAAATAAAATAACTTAATTGGAATAAATAGATCACTATTTCTATTTTTTATTTTTTCTTCCTATTATTCATCCTATAAAAAGGAGAAAGTTTATTGTATTATAAATAAAATTAAGAAGATTATATAATTTTACTAAATATATTAATTTTAGGCACCCCCTAAAGACAAATATGGTGTGGATATTACACCAATGACTTACATACCTGGTGCTAAAATTGAACGATATCTTGGAAATTTGAATTTCTTTTTTATTCGTGAAAGCACGTGTTTAAGAGAAGTATGAATGTTTAGTTTTTCAATTTTTTTTTGTGAACTATTTTTTATTTTTTAGAGTGGCGGTTTAAGTGGATTTGTTCATTGTTTTGTTGCTGAAGTTATGGCTATTGTTCGCGCACATGTAACAGCATTGGGGGGTAATGCAATGGTAGCCTACTTCATGAATGAATGCATTTTACTTAATAATCCTCACAAAAATCAAGTAAGCTATTTTGTTCGAATTTAAGCCTGTTAGTATTCTATTTTATTAATTACATTTTTTTTTGTAGGGCCAGTGTTTACTTAATGTTGGTGGTGATGTTGTAGAAGTATCATATTATAGTGATGAATATAATGAAAAATAATTTTATTGTATGATTTTGTATTTTTATTATTATTATTATTTTTATTTTTATTATTATTATTATTATTATTTTAGTTTATTTTGTGTTATACATTAGTTTGATAATACTGTATTATAATTATATTAGTAAATATTTTGTAGCTTAATTCATTCTTAAAAATTTGGTAATAACTTATAATCAATTTGAAAGATTACGCAGGTCTACAAAATTAATAACCAATGAATTGTATTAACTCTTTTTCAATTAATTTTGAGATATTCTTAAGAATTTTTATCATAACATGATATATTACACTTTTATATCACACATAGTATAAACATGTAATTGGTTTATTTTAATATTTATTATAAAATTAATGTGTGAATGTGTTTATTTAAATAGATATTTAAATAATAGAAAACAGACACTGGAAATTTATTTTACTCGGTAAGGCAAATTTTGATGAATATAATAAATATTGTATTTGCAAAGATAAAAAATAAATTTAAGAGGTAGTATAGGAACCTTGTCCTATGACCATGTGAATTATACAAGGCGATTTTTTTAAACCTAGCTAGTCGATTTATTTTAAAATATTAATTATATTAAGAAAATTATTTTTGGTATTTTTAGTTTCATATTTTTCTTGATTAATCAGTTATTAGTTACTTTTTTAATTTATCCCTTATAACTTAAAAGGATATCAACTTTATTTTTTTAATCACAAAATACATATTTAACTAGTAAAAAAAACCCAGCACAGTGGGGTCGCGGCATAGTGGGGACGTTGCATAGTTGGGTCCAGTATAGATTTAATCTGACAGTGATTAAAATCACTATCATAAGAAACGTTTCGATGCAAATCTGTAGATAATGTTTAATTCTAAGAAATTGATGGATAATTACAAAAGCAACATCAACTTCTATTTCCTTAATTAAACCCAGATTAGTAATTCTTAAAATTATATATTATACAATTTTTAAAATTAATTGTTTTTAAATTATTATTGATTTTGATTTTTAATATGATAAAAGTAATCATTTTGAACCTATTTTTTTTTGTCCTTTTAAGTGAAAGTTTTAATAAAAAAAAAAAAAAAGAATTTATTACCATAACATTTAGCTCAACTTGCAAGTTTGAAATTTACATTATTAAATAGAAAAAAATGAAATTGTTAAGATTAATATGCAATCAGGGAATTTTATAATTACTATTTACAGTACATTTATCAGAAAAGTTAGATTTTTTTACATTTTTATCGTAATAGATCATTTAAATAAAAATCATAGTAATCATTTCTAATAATTAATTATTAAATAATTAAAATTAATTAAGTTTTGAATATTACCATTGTAAAATCTTTTTAAACGCCAAAAGTTAATTAGAAATGATTACTATGATTTCATCCTAAATAAATATATTTTATAAATTATCTAATAATGTGTTTTTAAATAAATCAAGAAATGTATGTAACTAAAAAAAAACTAATTTTTTTTCTATATTGTATTTATTTTAACGCTTAGGATACAAGATTCGAACCCGCCAGTAAAAGTGAATTTTTTTTAGCTTCGATGCGACGTTGAGAAGGTATTAATTTTACTATTATGTGTTATTTTTAGCTTCGATGCGAAACTGAGAAGGTATTAATTTTACTATGATGTGTTTTTTTTTTTGTGTCTGTATACACTGAATCTCAGCTCTCGCTGAACCGTCTTGATGAAAAATATGTCAAAAGATCATAAATTGTATCTAGTTGAAGACATTACCCTCAAAAATTGAAAAAAATTCCCTCGTTCCCCGTAAACGGGGGAAATCCCACAAAAAACTACAAATTTAAAAATCGCTAATTTTCGATATTTTTTCAATTTTTTTTACTTAAAATTGCAATAACTTTTTTAAAAATGATTGAATCAATATACATTTGTTTTTTATAGATACCTTAGTTATTTACCTATCATTTTATATATTTTTGTGAATTTTTGACTCTTTAATAGCCCACAGGAAGGGTTTCAAAATGGTAACTTTTTTACAAAAAATTAACTTTTTCAACTTAACTTTTGAAAATGTTCCGGAAAAACTGACACTTTTATATATATCTTAAATTAAAGCTAATGTAATATACTTTAATTTGAAAAAAAAAAATTTGACCTCTGGACTTGTCTTCATGGTGAAAATGACTACCGTATGCAAAAATATGCTATTTTTGTGAAAAAATTCTTGATATTATATTTTACATTTTTTAACATTATGTTGCTATAACTTTTTAAAAAATGCATGAATCAACTTTATTCTTTAATGATAAATACTTTATATATACTTCTTTCATTCGACATACTTTTTTTTAAAATCGGACCATTTCCCTTTATACAGGGGGGGTGCAAACCTTTTAAAATGCGTATAGAAAGTAGAACTTTTTCAACTTAACTTTTGAAAATGTTCCGGAAAGACTGACACTTTTATATATATCTTAAATTAAAGCTTATGTAATATACTTTAATTTGAAAAAAAAAAATTTGACCTCTGGACTTGTCTTCGTGGTGAAAACGGACATCAAAGTTAAAGAAAAACGTACGATTTCCGTGAAAAAAATCTCGATTTTATATGTTATATTATTTCATTTATATTTTATATAACTTTTGGAAAAATGTATGGATCAATATTATTATTTTTTTATAATAAATATTGATATACCCCTTTCATCTGGCACGCTTTTTTTGTAAATCGGATCATACCCCTTTAACGAGGGGGGTCAAAACTTTAAACATGCGTATTGTTACTATATTTTCAATTTAATTTTTGAAAGTATTCCGGAAATACTGATACTTTTATATAAATCTTAAATTAAAGCTTATGTAATATACTTTAATTTGAAAAAAAAAATTTGACCTCTGGATTTGTCTTCATGGTAAAAATGACTACCGTATTCAATAATTTGCTAATANTCATGGTAAAAATGACTACCGTATTCAAAAATTTGCTATTTTTGTGTTAAAATTCTGGGTTTTGTATTTTATTTTATTTTAAAATACCTGACAAGGGGAGTACAGATTTTCATAAATATTATATAAATTAAAATTGATATAGTATAGATAGTTAAACTTATTTAAATATGTTTGTTTCTTTTAAGTCGAGAAAAATAACTTTGAAATTTGAACTAGCTTAAATAGCCAATTTTTCAACCAACGGAAGCAACGTACGGTTGCCAAGTTGGAAAAACCTGTGTTTCACATGCTTGGGGTACGAGCTTCCAAACCGCGTTTGGCAATGAATTTTTTGCATTTTTTCTTAATTCTTTTTAAGTTAGTATAAATTTTTAACTCGTTTGATTTTTATCTCATTTACATTCAATAACTTCAATAAAGATCAAGGACCCTATCACTTTAGTCGCTCCTTGCAAGAAGAAATTTCTTATTCGTATTAAAATTATTTTACTATATTTTAAGTTTTAGCTTCGATGCAAAGCTGAGAAGATATTTTTTTGTGAATATCATTTATTTTCTCTGCTCTAACTTGACCTACTTTTTTCAACGATTACCCTCAAAAATTGAAAAAAAAATTCTAATTTAACAATTAAACATTTAGTTATTACATGTTCTCCATAAAGACAATTAAAATCATTAATTTCTAATGTTTTCAAAATATTTATTAACGAATGAAGTTTGATATGATAGGTTTCAACTACAAAATTAAATCATTTTACTTTGTAATTTAATAATTTTATTACTCTGTTTGTGTGTGCTACTATTAGACTATAATATTCAAATTTTTTTCTAACGTGTTGCTATATAAATCATTTCTAAAAAAAATGATTGTTTTTTCTCCTGAATTAACAATTGATTTTTACAAATATAATCAAATTTTATAATAAACTCAATTGAGTAAATCTTTTTAACAACTTTGTTTTGATTGGTACATTTAGTTAAAGTAAATCATTAAAATTAATTAAGTTCTCAATATTTCAATTATAGAATCTTTTCAACAAACAACAAAAGTTCCTAGGAAATTATTACTATTACTTCTATTTAAGTTATCTATTACCATAAAAATGCAAAAAAATATTGAGCTTTTCTGATAAATTTACAATAAATAGTAATTATAAAACTTTCTGACTGCATATTGATCTTAACGATACAAATTTTTTAATTGTCATAAAATTTTCTATTTAATGATGTCAATGTCAAACTTGCCAATTGAGTTAAAAGTTATGTTAAAATAAATTATTTTTTTTTATTATAAACAATTACACCAATCAAATTTAAACGATTAAAAAAATAGGTTAAATATGTCATTTTCCTTATTTTTAACATATTAATAATTAAAATCAGTATTAATTTTAAACAATTTTTTTTTTCTTAATTATTTTTAGCTTTTTTTATATGTAAATACTATTTTTTAATAATATTAAAACTTAGAATTGATAGAAAAAGTCTAATTGCACATTTGAAAACATCGCGAAAAGTTGATTTAGAATAGTATATTTTTGTTTCTGATGGAAGTTCCTTGTAGTCCAGTGTATAAAACTTATAACTTTGTTAATTGTTATAACTTTATCAAAAATGACCAAATCAGTATATTTTTTTTTATTTAGATGCATGTCTTTATCTATCATTTGGTTTTTTTTATAAATCTAACCCTTTACCTGCCCACAAGAGGGATTCAAAATATTAACTTTTTTTTTTTTAGTTAAAGTAAATCATTAAAATTAATTCAGTTCTGGATATTTCAATAGTAGAATCTTTTTAAATATCAAAAATTACTTAGAAATGATTACTATGATTTCTATTTAAGTGTTCTATTACGATAAAAATGCAAAAAAATAATGAGTTTTTCTGTTAAGTATACTGTAAATAGTAATTATAAAATTTCCTGACTGCATATTAATCTAAAAATAACATTGTTTTAATTCACATCAAATTTTCTATTCAATGATTCATTCTAGTCAACGAATGACTAGAAAAAATTCCCAACCAATTTTTTTTGTTTTTTTAAAGTAGGCAATTGGTGGATTATTCCAAAAGCAACATCAACTCTTATTTCTTTAATTATATCATGATTAGTAGTTCTTTGATTTTAAAATATAATATTTGAATATATACTAATTATAATTATTAAATTTAGTATGAAATTGATATTTAATATTGTAATTTAAACGGAGAAATTATAAA